TCAGTCATGTGACCCAGCGACCCAACGGTCCCACGCCTGTGGGTTTCAGTCATGTGACCTAACAGACCCACGCCTGTGGGTTTCAGTCATGTGACCCAAAGGTCCCACGCCTGTGGGTTTCAGTCATGTGACCCAACGGTCCCACGCCTGTGGGTTTCAGTCATGTGACCCAACGGTCCCACGCCTGTGGGTTTCAGTCATGTGACCCAACGGACCCACGACTGTGGGTTTCAGTCATGTGACCTAACAGACCCACACCTGTGGGTTTCAGTCATGTGACCTAACAGACCCACACCTGTGGGTTTCAGTCATGTGACCTAACAGACCCACACCTGTGGATTTCAGTCATGTGACCCGTCATGCGACCCAACGGACCCACACCTGTGGATTTCAGTCATGTGACCTAACAGACCCACACCTGTGGATTTCAGTCATGTGACCCGTCATGCGACCCAACGGACCCATACCTGTGGATTTTAGTCATGTGACCCAATGGTCCAGTTCAGGCTCACCTGCTCATTAACCATTACTTGGTTACTTTGATACATCCAGGTTTTTTTTGAGCTATTTGTTTGTACACTTTGTTTACACTGTCATGGAAACAAAGCAAAATGAAAACCTGCAAAGTTTCTGTGCCAGCCCAGGCAAAGAACTGTATGAAACAGGTCTGAAGGCCAGTTCAGCTGCCTGGGAAGAGTTTATTTTTAAGGCAGTTTACTAGCTGGCAGAGTATGCAGAGGGTTAGGGCAGATGTCAATGCAGGACAGGATTTCAGATGAGTATTGACTTTTTGTCTACCATTCACAGCTTGGCAGATGTTGCCCGACACAAAGCACTATGCGTTCATGGCCTCTGCAGCTTTATTCTAATGCACCTGCTGTGCCTTCAAACCGCCTGAAAACCGACAACTGCTCCACTAATTAAAAGGGAATGTAGGAGCGGTCGATGGACTGGCCGCACACGAAAGGCGTACGAAGGCCTTGCGCCTGGGACAGGCTCCAGGTCCCACTACCGACCCTGAGCAGGATGGTCACATGATTAGATGGATGGATGGGTGACTGTAAGAATGGCAACCACCAGATACATCAGTATCCCAGCAAAAGAAAAAAAGCTAACAAAAACAGAATTTAAACTGGACCCATACAAGGAAATGAAGTATTAAAATATTAGATTTTTCTTAAAATCTCCTTCAACAAATATGCTAACTGTTTGATATTACACACTCTACTCATCTGCTGCAAAAAAGATACATAGATATGAAACTTCATGACCTGAAAGTTTAAAACACAAAAGAAGTACATTGTATTGCCTGCATGCTAAATAACACTAAACGTCTATAATCGCTGCCTCTGTTACAGCTCCTCTGGGACTCGATAGCGATCTGTTAACAATCAGCTAGCAATCCGCTAGCAATCCACTTTTCACCAAACCAGGAGACACTGCGATTAAAGCAGAAATGTTACCTCTTTAGGCTCTGCAGCTCGTCCAGCGTGAAGTCGAAGATGCTGGCCATGTGATGGTTGGAGCTCCAGGAAGACGTCAGATCATTCTTCATGGACAGGGACAGGGAGACAGACAGACGGACACAGTGTTTGAAAGTGCTCAGGCACTTCCAGGTGTGTCACCACGCTCAGCCTGCCTGGGTTCTGATGGACTCGTTAAAATCGGACAGACCCGTAGATTAGAGGGCATGCTGGAGGGCTGCTTACACACTATAAATAAAATAAAATCAAATAGAAATAGAAGCTGGTGGGGCACAATGTCACCAAGGGCAGACAGCAAAACATGACCCGTCTGTGGACCGAAAGCACTGGTGTCATTGGCAAGGGCGACAGGCAGAGGGCGCTATAAGGAAAGGCGCAGGCAGTCAGGCTTGCAGGTATAGCAGACACATGACGCCATGGGGAGCAGAGGAGGAGGAGGGGAGGAGAGGAGGGAAGGAGGCCCAGCAGACAGACAGCACAGCGAGAGGGGGGGGGGGCTCACGTTGGGGATGGCATCCTCCAGCAGCCACTTGGATCTCTTCTTCTTCTTCTTCTTCCTCCTCCTCTTCTGAGGCAAGAACTCTCGTGGCACCGTGCTGCCCCGCAGGGAGGAGACGGACAGCCTGAGACGCTTTGACCGGGGTGTCACCTCATCACTGCCAACCCCCCACCCTCTGACCTCCAACCAAGCCGCGCGCTTCCTCTGCTCCGAACGCTCCCCCGCTTCCGTGCACCTGGTTTAACGCTCTGCCACCGGATACGCCAGCAGAGGCATCTATGTTTTATGCTCAACAGCACCCCCTACTGGGGGTCACCCCATATGCTCAATAACCATCGTCACGTTTGGGTGATGGCCAGATAAATGCCAAAAAAGCGAGGGGAATGTGGAGACTGTGGCCGACACCCATGTGGGTTTCTCAGGGGGTGCTCGGGCTTGGAAGCCGACGTGATGATGAGAGATCAGTGAGCAGTCTGCCGTTCCTGTGACAACGTTGGCCGGCTTAAATGGTGCAATGAGTATTTTTATTGCACTACAGTATGTTTGTCTATGCTTTAAGTACTTGCTGCCATATGCACAATAATTTCCCGATGGGATCAATAAAGTTCATTTAATCTAATCTGTCACCCCCTTATGCTGGCATCCTTACAGCGGTGCAGACGGTCAACTGAGATGGAGCTCTGGCCAGGGAACACACAGCCTGGAGTGGAAACTATGTCATTCTTACAAGATCGAAGATTATAAAAATACCCAAGTCTGTGACACTGTAAAGCGGTAATTGTTTTCTTTCTGCCAGACCTTGAGCATACGCGACTGATCCCTACTCCCGAAAGACTGGCCTTACCTGTTCTTGCCGCGGCTGCTCTTGTGCCCCTCCCATGCCTCACCGCCAGGCACCCTCTCGGGGAAGAGCTTCGAGGGGGGGTTGGGGGGAACGCGCGTCCGCAGACGGAAGATGCATTTCCTTTTTTTGATCTCCTTCCCGCAGAGAAACCTACGAGATTTCAGACGGCATAAACCTACGTACCGACTTACGGGAAAACCGGGAGATCCTGCCACCCCACATCCGAACCAGAAGGTTCTGGAAGAAAAAGGCACTCCAGAACACACATGTAGGGGCTGGGAATATGTGCGGCAGCCTGTTATCGTAATGGCCCCGCAGGCACCATTAGGGCCACCAATGTAATGCGATGTGTTTCAAGCATCTCACCGCCTCGGGGTCCAGATTTATCTTACTTGCTTTTATAGTTGTTGAGAGCATCAAGGAGGTGCTGGGTCCTCTCAGTCACTGGAGTATTGGAAAGCTGAAAGGGGGGGGGGGCAAAAAAAACCTTAGAGGGAGGGAGGCAGGCGGCCTGCCAGCTGACGCAGGGCTGTCACCCGCATTGCTCTCCGTTACACTGGGCCTTCCAGTCGGGCCGCAGCGGGCATTAAAACGGGCCACTGACATGCTTGGTGTGACGAGCTACAGGCCCGTACAGCCCCTTAAAGGGCCCGACCACATGGAGACGACCCCAGAGGGGATACAACTGACAGGAAGAGGAGCTGCAGCATGCGTGACTTTCATTATAAATACGAAAAACTGCCCACTCAGACGTGAATGTATATTACAGTGCAGTGTGGGGAAAGCAGGCAGAACACTGTCAGATTTAAATTTAATTTAAGCTTAAATTCTAGAATCAACGGAAGGAAAACAGTTGGAAGTCATAAAAGATGGTTTGGTCCCCTAAATTGTTCCTGAGTTTCATTTTCATTTGTATATTTTTACGGTAATCCATCAATGAGTCGCGCCAACCTTGCCCAATTGGAAATGCTCCCAGTTGGTGGAGACGAAGCCGAGGATCTCCTCCAGCTCAAAGTACTTCTTCTTACTCTGGACGCCCAGGTTGTAGAGGGCAAGGTGCACCACGTCCACCCTGGGGAAATCAGGGGTGTCACCATCAGAGAATCGGCCAAATGAAAGCGGCCTTCCGGAAAGCTCCACAGCGGAGGGCAGCCTCACATCAGACGTTTGTTAAATGGAGCCTTTTCTGGGCCTTCAGGCCACCCCCCCCCCCCCACAGGTAACTCTGGTGTTATGCCTGAAAATACTGCCTGCTTACCAGTGCAGTGAGGAAACATGTTTTCAATTGAATTCTGACAGGATGGAAAACCGTGATAATGAGCAGGATCCGATTAATATGATTATTAGCTTTACACCTGACTTGATACCCAAAAGCTCCAACTGCTTCCACGACACTTCAGGCTGATTAGTAACATTTTTATACATAAAAACAAAAAACCATCCAAGCGGCGGATGTGCATAAGTTGTTCAATTACGCGTTTCCAGTAGATTCGTATATTTCACACTTTATTATTTTGTTATTAGTGCTGAAGGAAACAGTCTGTGAGCAGATATTAATGTAATAATTCCTATTAAGGCCCACATGGTAGAAAGGATTTAGAAGTAAGCAGCAAACTGAAGGAATAATGCTATTTCTTTGTGTTTCTCTGACAGAGCTAGAAAAATAATATGAATGAACCATGAACCACCATCTACTGTTCACCAATCCGGGTGCTGGCCATTAAGGCACAGACAGAGAGGCCACGTCATGGACGCAGGCTACATGTTGGGAGCGTAGAGGCGGCCGCTCACCATCTCAGGGCCAGGCGCTTGATGTACTCCACCCCTTTATTGCACACTGCACAGATGAACAAGTAAAACCTGGAAGAAAAATGGAGGAAAATGGAGAGCAAAAAAGAAAATGTGGTGACTGAGCATTTAGGAGCTGCCCTGCTCTAAGCCACTTTTATAAAACCCTGACAGGAAGTGCAGAGACCCTCCTTCATAACCCCCCCTTTCAAAAATGCCCCCGAGCGCATTCTCGGAAATTAAGCAGAAAGTGACGCTTTGTCTCTGATGTCTAACGCTTCCTCTCATCGACTGAAGACACAGGATCTTTAGCCTAAAGCTCAGTCTTGTTACACAAAAAAAATCCTACCTCAGCTGTCCAGAGGAAAAAACACAGAACAGCCACTAAAGCTGCCTTTTCTCATCCTCTGCAAGATATTTTTTCTAATACACAATAGTTTACTTTGAATAGCTCTAATGGAACTTGTATGGATAGCAGAGGGACAAAAATAGCTGAGGCTGCAGGTGACGTTGATGCCTCGATGGCTGCTGAATGGTTGCTGCCTCGATGGCTGCTGAATGGTTGCTGCCTCGATGGCTGCTGAATGGTTGCTGCCTCGATGGCTGCTGAATGGTTGCTGCCTCGATGG